CCTGCACAATCGAATAGAGGAAGTGGTACGCTACTGCAGCTGCGGACCTCTTCACCTCGCTCATGGAAAGGAACGTCCTCAGAAGTGAGCGCACAGCTTATCATTAAGTCTCATTGATGACTACGCTTTGAAGTACAAGTCGTAAAAGAATATGGAAAGACACTTACAAGCATTGTAGTTCTCAAATCGAATTTGTGGAAGAACTGTGTGACGAATATGTGCGTTTCCAGCAGCCTATTCTCATCCAGTTCCTCAACGTCCTTCAACACATCCACGAACCATTCGTAGTTTTTATGTGTGGGACAGATCCAGAGGAAGTACACCTGGTACAGAATGGAAGTTTAAAAGTCGCTACAAACTGCAAAGTGGTCTGAAAAAGTTCTTCTATGATTGCTCTTCAACTGGAACTTATTCGAGGTCTTTGAGAGACTCAGGCTTCGCATAGTTCTGGTGGGCAACTGCTTGAGTTGGTACGATGCCTATGCCTCGCAAGGTTTGGATCAGCAGACCGAATCTAGTCCTTCCAAGGTCACGTTATACCCCTCCGGAGTCGGCTTAATCAGAATCATACCCACCTGGGAGCATTAAAAACCTACATTAATACATTGCCTGGCTTTCGCAAAATATTGTGTACGCGAATTCGTCTTCAGATGTTGCTGCGATAGTAAGTAAAATGCGCGGCGCATCCCGAAAAGGACCTTATCAAGAATGCTCCATCCGTTATGCTCCCGGGAGCCCTGGGAAATGCAAAGAAAAGCACATGCACATTTTCTCCGAAATCAGCAAATCGTAGCAAATCTATTTCAGTTACATGGCAGCAGAGAGAGATTTCCGCCGATTGAGAACCAACGCCATCGTGCGGTCGTTGAAGTTGGTAATGGTTAATAAATCAATGGAGTTCCACGAAAGCGTTGACCTTTCACTGCTCTTCAGCAGATGAATCGCTCAAAGTGCGATGACCATTCGAATTGAGCATGTCCTTACCTTTTTGCATTTCACCTTATGATGCCGTCCGGAAGTGGTTTCTAGCACGAGATCAGTCAATGTAGAAGCATATGGTGTGACACCGATTCCTCCTCCAATTAGTATAGCGACTTCATAGTTGGTCCATTCCTAGAACGTGCACTAAATTATTGCCAAACAAGTTCATCATGATATAAATGAGCCATAAAAAGAAGTAGGCGACAAAATACACTATGCTGAAGAAGGGAATGGTCCGTTTCGCCTCTATCCTATAAGGCATACAAATACAATAAGCCTGTTTGAAAAGCATTATCATTTTTTAGCGCTTCAGTCATCCCTATGATTGTGAGCAAAGAGTAGCTTGTCAATCATGGATCACTTCATGTTTAATCTTTTCAACTGGCTTGTCACTACAACAATGCGGTGGAACAACTAAATATTGTTCATAGTCGCTGTTGAATTCACATCCCGGGATTGGGGAGAGCGGGGAGAGGGAGGACAAGGGGGTGGGGAGATCGTCTTCAGTCGCTTGGTAGGCAAATCGTATTCGGACAGCTAAGAACTTCCTGCTACAGATTCCTGTCCTTTCATGAGCGCTATACATTGATAGGTGCTAATAACATTGACAGGAGAGGTGAGCATTGTTGAAGGGCCCCTCAGCAAAACTGGCAACAGTCATTCTAGTGTAATTTCCGTTCTTCGAGCAGATTCACCCGGCTCGCCCACTTCAAGTCTGATCAATAGCTCTTATCCCCTGTTACGGTAATGCTATTCTTACAATGAATTCTTGCGATGCTTTTTGCCTAGGTTATTTGGGTCTCCTTTCCGTATACTGACTGCTGACACCGCTGTTTTACAATGGTTATAACCAAGTTCATCTGGTTTCTGTGCAATATTTCACGGCAGCTCTACCGTTATTTCGCCTGCTGTATCGCAGTGAAGGCTCCTTTGTGCCTTCCTTTCGCATTGCCTTGCTGGTCGTAACTACTTGTGCATATCTCGTCCCACATTCAGATTTTAGCAATTTCAGAATTTACAAAAACATGTTGCCATTTTTGTAGTAGCACCTGGTTTCCGTCGCCGTAAGGACCATTCATATGGACCAGTGGGTAAGGCGAACCGCTCGCTTGTGCTCGAATAATTTCCGACCTCATCTTCCATGTCCACGGACCTACTGCCTGGAATCGTGAGATATAAAATGAACACACAGTTACGACAAACATTAGATTGTACTATAATGCGGTCTGGGAGGCCTTCATACACCCACGATAAAACTTCTGTCAAAACTGACCTTGATATATAACTCTAGCGTAGGCGATTGAGGTGCAGAAGCCAAGGAAAAAGCGTGGCACTCATTGAAGGCGCAGGAGAATGCCGGTGACGAAATCCGAACCCATTGGCCGGAACGGAACGAGAACGACAGTGGTCGTTTGAATTGCAGATAAATGATATCTGAAAGAGATCATGCGGTTATTAGTTTTCAAATTTCCTCAGGAAAGGTAGAACGTCTTCCCTACCAGACGGCAATAGTTCAGCGTTGAGGATTTTGAGTTTCTTGTATTCCTGACGCATTCCCATGATGCGATCAATTATGAAGATTACCACGGGGCCAATCGCGTAGTACCAGAACTTTGGTGACTGTAAAACGTTAATCGTAGTAGTCATTTTCAGCCAGGAAATCAAAAGGTTGAGAAAAACTGTAACGGTATACCCACATCGAGCAGCTTCGGTAATCCGTGCAACACGGTTAGCGCGTAGAAGGCAACAGCACACAAAATGAACGTATTGGAAAGCGAGCGCCAGTGAGGACGGGGGGGGGGGTGGGGAGCGGAAGTGTAGAAGATGGGAGATTTTAGAAGATGTGTGGAGATGGGGTCGGGTCGTATTGCATGTTAGGAGGGTTCTAGGTAACCTGAAAAACGTCAAAGGCCGGAGGTGCCCTGCTATTAGGTCTAAATGATGCTGATAGGAAACAGACACGAAACCCGAATACAGCTTCCTGGAACAGACAATGAAGTCCTTCTTGACTCTGAGTGGCAACATGGTAGAAGTTAACGCAATGACCGATCGTGTGCAGAGCAGCCCAAAAATGCGGCGAACAAAGCGACGATCTGAAACTCAGCAGTTATTTACTTCTTGAGCATGTCTGACTTCGCGAATTATTAGGTTGAAGGCACACTCTACCCTTAAACAGGAGATGCCACGTAGTTGCGAAGCTGGGCGGACTAACTAGGTCAAGTGCACCTTTCTCACTGGCGGCCACAACCTTTCAGACGGCGTAGAGGATGAGCGCACCAATGAGGAAAGGCCCCCGACTTTGCCTGCCCCAGCGGCCGAGTGACTCCGCCTATGCGGCTAGCGTTTAATGTGCTGTCGACATACGGTCAGATTTCCTCAGCGTTACGAATGCAGTTCACGAAAGAAAGCTAAGGATATAAAGATAATTATTCAAAACCGCCCACAAAAAGCGGACTAATTTTTATAAAGCAGGCTTCAGAAGACTAATGAAGGATTGATTTTAGTAGTAGTGTTTTAGCACAAGGCTTTAAAAACGAAGAACGAACCTTGTGGAACGCGATGGCAGAATCAAATGGAATGAACTCTCCGATAGGTGTTTCTCTGAGCAGGGTGATGACATTACGGCAGACTGTCAACAGTACTACAGCCATACAAAATGACAATGCTCCAGCAGCACCGCGAGTGATCGCAATACCAGCGCCCATCACCCGGCGCAAATCACGGTGTTCCGTCTCGTAGCGATAATCTGAATTGAGCAGAGAGAAATCATGTAGAGGAAGACTAAAAGAATTGTAATGAACTCACGCCAGAATCGCTCCAAGAACACGATGATGTTGATGCAGCAGAAGATGAAGAGGATGGCAATGTGTTGACGGTAAGTCTCAATGAACGCGGCGATAGAACCCAAGACGTTGCGAGAGAGACACTGATGTTCCGAAATTGTTGAAACGGCAAACGAGCTCAATGATGCGGTCCTGAATGCGTACCTTGTCGCTGCCGTTGATAAGCAGGGATAAAAGACTGATATCAGTAACAAAAATAGCAATCACATTCGAGCTGCGGAGTCGACCATCTTTGTGAGCTGTGGCCACACCCCTTATCTCGGAAGGGGAGAGGGCTAGTACTTAGTTTTTGGAGCGGTAGAGGCTGCATCTCGTGGTCTGAGCCAGTTAAGGGGGAGAGAAAGAACAATCCACCGACTTCCTTTTGTATTCCCTGCCCTATCTTACAGTCGAAATCTCTGAAATGTGGTAGGCGCATTCACCTAAACGTAGCGGCGGCTGGGCTTTTGGAGAGATATTTCCTTTTTGACATGATTGTAGCCGTGTCTCTGTCTGACACAAAACAAGATGACAGTTGTCTCAAACTTAAGTATTCCACGAGTATTGCTACGCTCACAACTGATTGTGAGTCATCGACGCGCTACCATACTCGCAGAACATAAGCGAATTGATGAGAAAAATACTACATTAACTTTTGGCATGAACGATAATGAAAGCATCACAACCGAAACTCATCCTGCAAGTTCACTTTAATCTTTGCACCTCGGAAGTCGACGCCGATAGGACGACGTTCATCGACTTGTGAAAAAATCGCTTCGAAGTCAGCCGTAGTTAATAATCCGAGCCCGTTATTCCTAATACTATTACCCTCTGTAAATATCGTCCCTATTGGCAGCGTTCAGATCCCCACGCGGCGCCTTCGCCGTCGCTCCAGCGATCCGACGCAGTCGAATACGCGCGACGATCGCGAAACGCGGCCACGCACGCCGTCGCGGACTGATTGGTAGCGCTCTACTTCACTCGACTGGCATAAATGTTCTAAAGCTCGCAATAAACATATACTAAATCGCATATTGAACTCATTCTCCATCCCAATAAACTAACTCAAAAGACAAATTTCCGCTGAAACTTTGCCTCTATATATATTAATTCGCAGTCGATTCACAAAATGCAATATTCAATTTCTGACCGGGCGCCCATCTGGCTGTCAATAGACACCAACATGATCCAACAAACTTTCTCGCCAAATTTATGCAAATTCTCTACGGGTTTAATTGACATCCTGATCACGGATATGGCATTTAATTCTGACGCTGATGCAATTTGCCATCACCTTTTCTTCCAAAAATCGATAAAAAGTGTATAGGTGTTTATGCCGTCTTCGTCACGAGAATGGCATTTATTTCTCCATACCAGCGCCATTTAGCGTTCTGCTGAGGCTGAACCTGGGAAAAAAGTGATTCCCCTTAGGCCAGGCTCAGTCTTAGCAAAGCGCAGATGACCATAGTGTCCTACGTTAGCGCCGGCGCCAAGAATAAATATGTCATATTCATAATCAGGATGTCAAATAACCCTGTATATAAGTTTTCATCGGTTTCGGTGACTGAGGGTGTTTTGGCGCGGGCGCCAGGCGGTTTTGGCCTAAGCGGATGTGTATTCATGTTAAGGGGGGCAGACTACCCCTATGGACAAGTTTTCAGCAAATTTGGTGATTTGGCGCATTTTGGCGCCGGCACCGCACTTTTGGGTCAAGCGGATGTGATATTCTGTTCAGGAGGTCGAAGTACCCCTGTAAGCAAATTTTCAGCCAAATCTGCCCTTGTAGAAAAAAGTCGGTAAAAACCGGCCTTGATTTCGGCAGACTGGGGTAGGAATAGTTCAACAGTGCCAAATTTTGTATGGGAACCGATGATATTATCGGACGTTCTCTTCAAAGTATCGGCTGTGGAAGTGTTCAGAAAAGCATGGAAGTCCTGCATGCAAAACACTGGCTTTCTGGTCACACTTTTCTCATTAATAACTTTGACTGAGACGCGTGAACTCCTTCAGGAGACCACTGTCTTTCGATCGAACACCGTCTTTTGATTTTCACTTTACTTACCTGACCGATACAAGATGTTCTCAATGACGTGATTCTGGCTGCTTTCAGTGATGCTCACACCAACAACGGCATTTAGTGATCGCACAAACTCAGCGAATTCACTGCGACGAACTCTTCCATTTCCGTGAACGTCACACATTGAAAAGAGGAGCTTGTATTTGTCCCTCACACTTCCTGAAAGTCACATCGAGTCATTTGTTCGAGCGATAGAGGGATCACAAGACTCTGTGAGGAACAGTCATAGCACATTGAAAGGGTAGTGTGGTCCGCGAGGAATAACCTTGTACCGGTTTCGCGGCAAAAAATTGTAAGGGAGGGGCGCTATAGCGCAATATAGGTTCAGTGACGCCTCCTTTCCCCCAGTGACTCCGCCTCCAGACTCCGCCTTCAAGGCCCAACTTCAAGTGGAAAACGAAGCTGCAGGACGAAGAAGCATGAAAACTGTCACTTGCCAGTCGCACAGTTCTTATCGGGGAATCAGTTGTTGGGGGTGAAATGTTGGAGATGGAGTTCATTGGGCACGTACAAACTGGATCGGAATGGGATTCTATCTAGAGCAGTGGCATGTTTTTCTTCTTTTTTCTTCACTGTCGAGTTACTCAAGCCTTATCGTCTACATGCAAACCCCTAATCCACGCTCTGTGATGGCGACTGATATCGCGGGCGTTATCTTAATATACTAGATCTTAAAGGCAATTCCCGGGACCACAATTCATACGGCTAACCAGTCAAAATAGAATTGCCTCGTGGTTTGTTGACTTATTGAAGGGAAGGAACCACGAAAAAGCGCCCGCAATAAGACCCTCTTTATTTCAATTGATCATGATCACCGGACGAGCGTAAGGTGGTCAAGATCGATTGTGGATGGCAAAAGGCGGCGAGACACTGATAAGAGACGAGAGAGAGGCCAGAAAACGACGAGCGAGAGAGTACAATGGCAGTCTCACAACGACACGATCACCGGAGGCCGGCATGGGCCTATCGGGCGCCAATGGGCCTAAAAGCTGAGCGCGCCGCGTTTTGCTTGCTGTTTTTCAACTTTTGTAAGCAGCATAGCCTCTGACGTTGCCTGCTTGACCGTCGGGCACATTTATGAGAACCTAGCCTTAGTTTATGGCGGAACGTGCCTTTAATCATTTTGGTGCATTTTGTGGTGCTGGTCTTATTACACCAATTTCTCTTTTGCCCACTCAATGTTGTTCCCGCCTACAAAATATTAGGAAAAGCGTAAGGAAAAGCTCAGTGCGGCGCTAAAAGCGAGGGCATTCAGAAGAAAAAATATGCAAAAATCCTGACCAAACGTCCCCCGCTTTCGTTGTCCTCAGCTGTTTCGAATGCGAGCAGCGCGAGCATGTGGTCAACCTTCTCTACTTTTGGAGGAGTAGAATAGAAAATTGGGTGGCCCTACATCTCGCCTCATCTAGTGATTAGCCGTTGACCACAGAGTCAACCCCCTTAGATGTTTGGCGATGAATCATAGCCGTCACTATGACTTGATTCCCTGGTGAAGCAGAACAGATGACATATACCCCGTATCCCGGAAATGGACTTGGCTTGATTGGGTACCTCATTTGAAGGTGACGGCGGCTAGTTTTGCTGGG